CTGAAAGACAAACTTTGATCTACACGTGTCTGGGAGTGGACTTAATCTGAGATGTGACGTTTTATCAAGAGAGACATATTTCCTAATCACAACTCATGGTTCAATCCACAGTTAACGCGATGTCCTCTACAATTATTGAGTCTAAAAGAATAAAGTTGGAGAACGTGATTATTACATTTAATATTACAATATGTATAATGTATAATGTGGGTAAGGTGGGAGAACAAAGAGTGCATTGATTATGTGTTCATATCCCGCGAAGTGTTCCACATTGCGCCATGGATGATAAAATCAATAGTATTAATTATATTTTATTAGGATTGTATGTAATAGACACAAAATTGAAACCTTTTTTTTTACAAATAGAAATCTGTAAAATGTATTTATTTTTAAAAGGTGAGAGTCTGTAAACTATAATAGTCAATTATGATAACATGATGGTGCCACCACCATGCATCACGATGGAATTGTTTGTTCAGAACATTAAGACCTGTTGTCAAAAAATGTTACTTTCAGTTCTGTGTCCATGTACACTTTTTCTTAATAAAGCTTAAGAAAAAGCTTAACGAAGGAAAATTGGAAAACTTAACAAACTTGAATCTGAATTGAAAATAGTGATATTCTGCATGTCTATCTTTTAGCATGTGAGGGCTCTGTGTAGAGCTGCAATGTTCCTACATGATGCTATGGCAGCTGGATGAGTCAGTGCCCTTTTGATACGAGAGGAGAATGGATGTGGGCCTTTCTGTTGCAGTGGGCAAAGCTTCCAAAGAACTGGTTCATGATCTAAGGTATGGTAATACATTACAGATAGAAATACTGATCTGCACAGATTTTTTTATGCGGTCTTCCATGAGACTTGTACTCATTTTCATCTATTATTTGTTGAGGTATGACAGTTAGGAATTACAAATGAACCTAACATACATGTTTTGGATTGTGGCAGCTGAAATACCCAATGGGAATCCTCTGCAAGGGAACATACAGGCTCCACAGTTGAATTTCTCATGAGTTAAGCAAGATTTAAATCCAGATTCTTCTTATTAAATATGTACTACTACTGTTTTAAATATGGGATACTACCTTCATTTTGACTTACTACTTACTGTAGTAAGAAAACAATTCAGATGTTTGTTTTTCTTTTAAAGGGCTTGGATTTTAAATCACTGTTCTGAGTACAATCAAACAAAAAGCAATAACTTGAATTGTTGTCTTTCATTACAAGTTTTTGATGAAAAAAAACAAAAACATTTACTAAAACATGCACCTGGAGCCAGTATTTTGCATGAAGAAATAATCTAGATTGTATAGTTACACATTGCAGTCTCAGCTTTTTACTATTATTTTTTTAATTGAAAATATGTTTGTACTTTTTAACCTGTATTTATTTTTTTAAATATATGTGATGTATGTATATTCTATCTTCTTTGCTATTTTTCTTCAGTTTTGTGGAAGAAGTCTATAGATTTCAAATTATAATATTTAGTTACCATTAAAGACACGGAATGACATTTTTGAAACTGCTGCTCTCTAAAGGACCTTTGTTCATTGAAAACAATGCCACATTTTATCAGTCAACATAAATGGGAAAAGAAATCAACAACTCTAGTCTGATACTTTATGTCAAAGCTGACTTTGGTCAAAGAAAAGGTCAAAGGACATTCTCTGAAGTAACCAGTCACCTGTAATTAGCATATATTAGAGGCTAAGACCCGTTTCATCTCCGAATCTGTGTGTTATTAGCTGTTGTTTTCATATTGAAAGGGAATGAATAGCTCCTTGTGAGCTTAGCAGAATCTAATTGTTGCTCTCTGGCACAGAAATGACGCAGTGTTCAACACACAGTTGGAGTCTTTGACTATAAGACTTAATCTGATCCATCTGGTCAGAATGTGTAATTAACTTTAGTCCAGCCTTGATGTGGGAGTGCATAAAAAGCCTTACATGCAATCTTAACTCATAGAAGACAGAGTTGGGGAAACCACAAAAAGATGAAGTGGTAAGATGTTTGTAGATTCTTTTTTCTTTAGTTGAGATACATTTTAATTCTTAGGATGCATAGAAACAACATGAAAGCAAATTTTGCTCTCTTTCAGCTTCCTATTTTGTTTGCTGCTGTTGGTGCCATTAGCAGTCATGGGAGTACAAGGCCAAATAAAAGGTAAACAACATGAACCTAATTTTTGTTTTTTCAAAACCAATTAGTAGTTAAAAATGTTTGAAATCATTAAACCAGGCGCAACTAATTACACATTTTTTTTCTTATTTCTCTCTCCAAGCTCAAAGACGACATGTGCTGATCTTTCTAAATGGTGACAATTGTTATCACTATTTCTTTCCTTCTAACTTCTAATATTTGTGGAATAATGGATTTTCTAAATGACTGTGCATTTTTGTATTCTTACAGAGGCTTTTGGAGCAACTACTGAAAAAACAACAAGAGCCAAAGTCACAGGTTGGTGCATCACAAACAAAATAAATTCAGGTCTTCATTGCTCATCTCATTAGATCCCTAAACTTATTTTTGGTTCCCTATCAGAACATTGAAAGAGAAACAAACAAATGGGAAGAGAAACCTACACCTTGTCATTTTGAAGTTTTGATGTTAATCTTGATCTTTTTCTTATGTTAACAGCAAAGACAAACCCCGACAAACCACTAAGATACAAAGACTCCAATGGTACACTTAATTTATTGAATATTAGTGGAGTGCAAATGTATTTATTAATGATTTAAAATAGATCTTAATTTTAATAGAAACAAAATTTAATTTGCAGATTTGTCTGAGATGCAATCAGTGGAGAGTTATGTCACCTCTGGATATCCAGGTACATTAAATATGTTTGTCATACATACTTTATGTATAAAGATCACATTTACTTTCACAAAAATAAAGAACATTTCCTCTTAATATTTCAGGACCTGGTCAAAGTGGAAGTGAAAGCAAAGGTTGAGTTTGAATCTGTGTTTTAAATTTCTTTAAATCATTCAGACTCCAGAGTTATGTAGCCCTGCAAAAGTACTCATATCCTTACAACATTTGTCACAATTTTGTAGTATTACAAATACAAAAGTGGTATTTGTTTTTTAAATTCTGATTTTATTTGATAAATCAACATGAAGTATTTTTAATAATGGATTACATTAGAATAGATAGATTAGTTACATTTGGTTTCACAAACAGATATATGAAAGGTTGACTGTGTATTAGTATTCATGCCACCAGACTCAATACTTTGTGGAACCAATTTTTGCTGCAGTTACACCTGAAAGTCATTTGGGCTATGTTTCTCCCATCTTTGGTAATAGAAGCAAACCATTTTTTTTATTATGCTTTGCAAAAGCAATCTCAAGATCAGTCAGATTAGATGGACTGATTGGATTCTACACCAAAACTGGCCTTTCACTTAGTCATTCCAGTCGGAGCTCGGTTGTAGTCCTGGCTGTATTTCTAGGCTTTACATCCTGCTGTAAGTAACAAGCTTTGCAGCCTCTAAGGGGCTTTCTTTCAGGATTGCCTTGTTTTCAGCTTCATTCATCTTATAATCAAATCTGACCAGCTTTCCTTTCTGAGGAAAGTATTTCTATTGTGTGAGACTGTCATTACCATGTTTTATGGAGGGGATAAAGTATTTTCACTTGTGTAGTGTATCTCTGCAGCCACTGCAGTGTTACCCTGGGCCTCGTGGCTGCGTCTGATTAATGCTGAGGAAGACAGCCATGTATTTTGGTGGATGTGCTGTTGTGACATTCTCTTTCCACTTCTGAAGATGGATTTAGCAAAGCTCTGAGATATTTAAAGCTTGTGATATTATTTTATAACTTAAAAATCCTCTCGTTGACAATGAAGTTTGTAATTGTGACATGACAAACCGTTGAAAGGGTATGACTAACTTTGTAAGGGACTTCATATGTTGATGCAGATGCCATATGAAGAAATATATTTTCTCACAGAAACATCCAGAGACCAGGGCAGCTATGAAGTTGTGGATCCCAAAGCTGGAGCAGACACGCCATCAAGGAGAAAAACACAAACAGGCACAGACAAGATGCAGCAGCTGGATGAGACTATCAGGCATGTTCAAGGTTGGAGCCAGGAGCAGATCATTGGTCAAGGCAAGCAACAGGGAGGACAGACTGATCCGGACAGTGAAGAGGGAACGATGGTGAGGTCTGGCAGAGGCATGCAAACCACAAGTGTCCAAATCCAGGGGGCGAGAGTGGATGCAGATAAAAGCATGGAGACATCTTGGGAAAGTGCAGAGGTCAACAATGGAAAACTGGTTGTGGTGCACAACAGTAAAGGTAGGAACAGCTGTCATGTCATGTGTGAGGCACTCAAAGGTTTTCAAAGGATGCTTAAACTCTTCAAAGATGTTTAAAAATTTCATTTTCCCACAGAAACCAGAGAATACATCAGGTCTGAAACCTATCCCTTTGGTAAGAATGCATTTTTCTTCCTCAAGTGAGGAATGCAGCAGCTGATTGTGGAAGCATAAGCCATTCAGAAAGGTATTTTATTGCTTATTTTTACTTTAACTCACAGATCCCAGTAGACTGTCTGCTCCAGTCAAGTCTAGACCAAGGTTGGTTTCTTTTGCATTTTATAATGAAGCTCATAATTTTCTGAACTTTCTCAAGATTCTTTTTATTATGGACATCTTTGAGTATTATATGTGTGCATGCAGTTCATCTGTTGTAAGTGAATACACTTATTTTCCCTATTTTTCTTGTCTAGAGCTACTTCCTCTGACTGAGTCAGGAGCCACCATGTATTGACTCATTCACAGCAGACAGGATGCTTCAAAATACAGCTAACACTGGGACTTTTTTATATACCTCCAAATAGAAGCATTGTGTCCATTTTTTTTAAATATTCTGATCATGTGAAGACGTAGAAGAAAAATAAAAATATTTTTGATTGAATCTTATGTTGGATGTAAAGCAATAATAGGTTGCTTGCAGTGAAAGCTGACATGAGAAAAGTATAATCAAATAAACAAAATGAAACCAGTTTTATTGAGTCTGACCAGAATTTTTCTAAAGGTAAACAATGATTGCAAAGGTGGGTTTTATTATATTTTGATAAATACAAAAGAATTTACAAACACACCATGTACTTACTGAATTCCATGCTCCACTCAGCACAACATAAATTAACTGCAGAAACAACATTCAGAGACTCCACGCTATTTATCATTAGATTTATGCTAATTTATGAGTTGCAAAGCAAGATTTATACCAAGGATTATTTGGCATAGTTCTTTTATATATTTTACAGTAAGTCACAGACATGAAGTTGAGAATTTTAACACTTTTCCACAATATGTCATTTCCGAAAGTGTCGAAGTTCATTGTAGATATCTGACTGCACTCCATGTAATTCCTTAAAAGTAAAAGAGACTTAAGTTGACCATCCATAATTTACAATAAAACCCATGTTAAAATATATAAAAAAATATAAGAAAGAAAAAAGTCAAATCATAGAAATATATAGTCGTTTACAGAGTAAGAATTATTATATGTATCAGTTAGTATACTTGTCTAAAAAAATAAGTATCATTCAAAGCTTACTATTTTACCTGATATGGAGATTCTGTGTCTTCTGGGGTCATCTTGTTCGAGACAGATAAGGACAGATTTCTTCTACCTGTTAAGGGAAAATATTTAGCATAGGTAAGATAATAACACAAAATTCACCACGAACATTAGAAATAGCAGAAATGCACAAGGTCACCATCGTGAGACTCCTGTTCCCTTCTTCTCCTGTGATGACTTGCGAAGCAGAACACGGAGATGATGAGGAACACGGTCAAGATAATGTCAGAGGCAATGATGCCAATCACAGAGCCCATGTTTATCAGGTAGCAGGTGCCACATTCTGTGAGGAAACATTTAAAAAAATACATTTTAAATGATGCAAAATGTCATGTCATATGTCTAATGCAAATCGTTGAAGAGATCTACCTTGCTGTCCTTCCTCTGACCCTGTAACACATTACGGTAGTAAAGCATCAGAGTCTGCTGATGTCTAGACTGTTGTTGTTAGGGAGAGTGAATGTGACTCACCGAACATGGAGCCCACAATACAGAGAGCATCAGGCATCTTCTCAGTTGAGGGGGAAATGGCAATCCGAAGACCAGCTGTTGTTTTGATCTTTGCGAAAAGAAGGCTGCTTAGTGGTGTCCATAAACAAAATGCTGGAGGTGAGTCAGTAGGATTTCAGGTTCCACGACCAATATTATTATAAGGGTGGGGAATTGTCAGCAGTGTGCTAGAGTCTGTTAAAGAAGGAGGAGCACAAAGTGGGAGTCCACTGACACAAGAGGAAGTTGGTCTTTCTGTTTTGTCTTTTTACTGTTACATGTCATATCTATGGCACCTGTGGTCACTGGAATAAAAAGGGTCAATTTCATCTCCTGCTTTCAAGCCAAGATGCACCTCATATTGTAATTTTACTGGAATGATGCAAAAGACACAGCAGTAGCCAGTGGCATCAGGTCTCTCTCACGGCCAGAGTTTCTGCTGAAATACAAGCGATCTCATCTTCAAACAGAGAGTTTCCTGAGACTGTGTGGTTTAGCGCAAACGGCTGGAGTCTAGTTTGAAGGTCCTCGACCGCAGCTTTATCTGTAACTAGACTGTCCTATCAGCAAAATGAAACTGAACATTATGTTCACTGGTTTTATATGAAAAACATCTGTTTTTGGTTCATAATTAAATGCTGTATTTGTCAAAAATGTCAAACACTGAAACTTCTCAAATGATTCACACACCTGTACCTTTTCATAATTATTGTCACATCAAACTGCAGCACAATTAATTTGTAAAACTAATGTGTTAGGCCAACTCAAAGTAGTACATAGTCATAAAGTACAAAGAAATGCAAGTTTTTCAAAGTTTTTAATTATATTTTATTAGATTGTTTTTGCAAATAATAAATTGTTTTTGTATTTCTGCCCGGTCTTGCTGAAGGCAAGTATTCTGACACAACAAGTGTTTCACCACAGAGATGACCAGATTTGTGACGTTCAGAGCGAGGGCTTTTTCTGAGAGAATCTTCAATCTGAACTGTTCATCACTATACTGTTGGCCTCTTGGCTGTTTATCGGCTCACTGCTGTCCTAGGTCAGCTTATCTTTCAGATGAAGCAGCATTTCTTGCTAGGTAGTGAAAATGTCACTACCTAGCAAGATGGGGAGACTGAACCAACACACAGTACATCAGTAAATAAAAACAAATAAATTGCATCATGAGTAGTTAAAAGCATGTAGTTTTTGACCAAAGTGTGCATTTTTCTTTTCCACAACTTTATCTCTGTTATTGTGAACGATGGGAAGGGCTATACACTCTTTGTTTTATATTTTAGTTTATGAATTGATCTCTATTAAGGTAACCACATTCGAAATTGCTGCTAAATACTTCTGGAGTAAATGTATTACCACTTCCAAGAACACAAATGTGAAGTCTCGGAAGTTCACTTGTCCAAGATAAGGTTCATTTCACAATCTTTTAATTAAAGCTCAACACCCAAGTCCAACAACTATTTGGACTTGGGAATTTAACATATTGTGTTGATTTTCTCCAAAGTTAGACGAAGAATCTGAGTGATAAGGTCTGAGTGTCCGGCATATGAATATTGTTTTTTCATTTTATTGAACTAAAGAATGAAGCAACTGGGCAGACAATGAATAAACAGATCAGCCAGATAATACAGAGATATAAAGCTGATCTTGGTCAGCATGTTTTCTGGGATGACTCAAGCAGCAGTTTCACCTTAGGGTTAGATCAACAAAGCAGCAAGACATTTGCTCATATCTGATCTAGTCTCCAAAACAGCTTACAGCGCTCAAAGGTCATTCTTAACCACAATGATGGATTAGATAGAAATAGAATTGAAGGTAAAAAGCATTACAATGGACCTGTGCATACACAAACATGATTTTATTAACCAAATAGAATTAAGAATTTTTTTGGGAGGAAGGGTATTTGAAGACAAACAACAAAAAATTCCCCCATATTAAATGCATGTGTTTTCAAGTGCAGAATAAAACAAACACATATGGCTAAATTTCAGCTCTTTGATTTTCCCTCCAATGAATTTGATTTTTTGTACTCAAGAAAGAAACATTTCATAACTGGTCAAAATAGACACTTTCCATTGATTTATTCAAATAAAACAAGTAAAAATTTAACACACAAAGGCTTCAAAAATTTATTTAAAAGAAAGTTAAAACAGTACAGTTGATAATGTATATATATTAATAAAGTAATAATTCGACAGTGCATAATCAAGAGAAGGTTAAAAGAAAATCTTGTTTATAAAAATCCCACAAATCATTTCCAGCCTTTGTCTAATCTAATCTATACCAAAAGCAATCTGCAGAGGGCGCTGTTAAGTAGTTCTAGCCAATATTTAATGTGCATGGATAACATTCAACCACATTTTTTCAGTTCATAGTTAGTTCCTTATTTCCAAAGCTTTCGTTTCAGAACTTAGGAAAATGTAGAAAAAAAGAGAAAATAAATGTACCAATTTTTAAAATGTGACTGAGCCCCAACAAGAATTTGTGGGAAGTTTAAATCTTTAAAATAAGTTTTTGTTGTTGTTGTTTGTTTAAAATGAATACTATTATTTTATCTTTAAACAGCAGTGGACCTGAAATGATGTGACACTGACAGCAATTTCTCTTATTTACTCAACACTATTCAAATAAGCCAGAGCAATTAGTTAAGAAATGGATTCAAGAAAATAGCAGCCCACCAGAACTTACTTATATAGGAATTCTAAAAAAAATTTAACAACTAAGCTCTAACAAACGAGTCTTGATGAGGTGTCTTTGCCAACGCACACCAAGAGGAAGAGAAAATGAGGGAGGTTGATTAAAAAAAGTATTTTTTAGCTCGCTGTTAGAAAACAGCTGCAAGATTAAGTCGATAGCAAATTATGATCTTGTTTCAAGGCTTTTCTGCACATATTTACCAGGAATATCAATAATTATGGAGGATGCTGCAAAAATACCTGAAAAAATTGAAAAGAGAGCCACGTCTTTAGAATAATAATTTATAAAACATTTTTATTTTATGTTCTTCACGTTGGCCCGAACATTCATATAAACCTTGTCAGCTGTGAAGAAAAGAGAGAAACAACACGCAAAATTAAAATAGGGCATGAAAAACATAAAATAGGAGCCAGATGTATGCAGTTGAAACCAGAGGTTTGCATACACCAAATAAAAAGACACATTCACATTTTTTTTTAGTCTGAAGTTAAATCAGGCTCTTGCTTTAGGTCAGTTAGAATTACTAAAGTTAGTTCTATGTGTTAAATGCTCTTTGAAATCAGAAGTAAACATACAGATATTGATTATTATCTTTACAATGGGGGAAAATCAAAGATGCCATGTCTTTGGAGACTTATGATAGGTTAGGTGACGTAAGTTAGCCAATCATAAGTTAACTTATGACATTGGGGAAACACTTGTTGATGCATTTTGAGACCACACCATTTTAAGATGTTGCCCGAAGCTGGTGGGACGATGCCGTTACCCTCAGTGAAACATCTACTTTAGAGAACATGTTTCTGTAAACTGTAATTTACAAATGCGTACAGAGGCAAAGACCTTCATTTCTGGAGACATGTCCTGTGGCCTGATTGAACTAAAGTGAGACTGGGCAGAATGGCCATAATTTCTTTTGGAGGAAAAAAGTCCTATTAAGCCTGGAAACACCATCTGAACTGTGAGGAATAGTGGTAGCAACCCCCTGTTGGGAGCCATTTGCTGCTGGAGGAACAAGAGCAATTACATGCACTTTATGTGAAAGTATTGAAGCGACATTGAAAGATATCAGCCAGGGAAATACAAATAAACAATGACCCTATACATACATCCAAAGTGGTTACAAAGTGGCTTAAGGATAACAAACACCATGTTTTGTTTGTGGTCCTGATCTTTATAAATTTATGGGTAGATCTTAGGAGTGTACAAAGATGCAGCCTCCAAATCTGACTGTAGTTAATGTTATTGTGGCATTTAGCGAAAATAAATAATTTTGGTAATTGTAACTGTCTTAATGCAAGAGTAGTTTGGCCTGATTTAACTTCAGATAGTAAAAACAGTATATGTAATTTGCTTCAGTGTTTCTGAACCTTGGGGTTCAAACGCAGTTTAATTATATAGAGACACCATTTCCAGTATTAGATCTTGAAAAAAACAAATATCTATGTGTAGCTTCCTCTCAAAGCCTTACCGTTATCTATTTTCTGACGACGAAAACTGGCACATCGGTAGGTGACGACCACAATGATAAGAGTCAGCAGCAAATCTGCAGCGATGATGCCTGCTATTGTCCCTGGCTCAATTCTGTAGCAAGAAATGTTGCTGTCTGGCAAGCGGAGACAAACAGAAAAGGTGACAGAAGAAGGAGTAGGTTGCTTGACAACTGACACAATAAGAGACACACCAATGGAAAATATGATTGATCATGTTTGCAGGTTTTTGGTTCTGCAGCTATTTTTTTTTCTCTTTTGCAGGTTGTGAGAGTAAAAAAATGAGTCAGATACCAGGGCTGTGTTCATCTTCTATGTGATATACATACCTGCTAGGGCCACAGTCAGACCTAACATAAAGAAAACAAAGAAACAAGACCAGAAATAAAATATATCACTGGTGATATTTTCGTGCTTCTGTGAAATTTCCATTTAACTGAGTGTTGGTGGTTACATTTCCTGTCTCAGACCACCTAAATGCGGAGCGTTGCAAAATGCAAAGCAAAAAATGACACTTACTGCACAGAAGAATCAGCAGAGCGGTGAAGTTGTCAGCCATTGCTCTTTGAGTCAGTTCAAGTTTGTCAAATCTGAAAAGCAAACACAGAGGCACATATCTCAGAGGAAAAAAAAATACCATTCAGTTTCATCGTATTTGACAGTCACATTATAAATGAATGCTGCACATGGTGTGACTAACAGTAAGGTGATCTTGAACTTGAACAAAGAAAGATGAACGGAGATCAAAAAGTAAGTACAAAAAACCCCAAACCCTTCTAAATAATCACCACCATGTAGCCTTAAAGCAGATTACATTCTTGGAACTAAATACTTTATATCAACAGCTGTTGAAAATAGATGAGTATTTTGGATCAACACAACTTTGGATGGTTTTAGAGTAAACAAAGAAAAGTTGTGGAAGAGAAAGCCAGTGTAAGAGACTAGCTCCACATACCTTCTCAAGTTGGCTTCATGTGCTCTGTGCAATCCAAAAGATGATGTGAGAAAAGCTTTTGCTGCAACAAGATGACGTCTGACTTCCTCTAGTGGGCTGAAACCCTGGCTGTTTGTTTTTGTGTGAACAACACAAGTCATCAACACACTGGTTGCTTCTTTTCTTTGGCATTTTATTTGTGGGTATTACACATTAGCTTAATTTAAAAACACACAAAAAGACCTTCATAATCTCTGACTGTGGCTGTCATTACACATTTCCTGTGAACAAAAGAACAGGAACAGATCTGCTATGAGAAGGTGACAAAGTGTGTAGGTGTCTTAAAGGTCATCACTTTGTTCCAATCTAATGATTAACCGTTAAAAATCCCACATCATTATATCTAAGCTGATGACAAATTATGTTCATCACACTCATGTCTATGCTTTAAGATTTATTCCATCATTTTATTTTACATAATTTTTTCAGATGTATTTTGATTCTTTAGGGTATGTTAAAATAATCTGTGATATTTTGATTGTGAATGTTGTGCTTTCATAAACTGCAAGTAGACAAATCATCAAAATTACTACCAAAATGAAGGATTATTTTCAGTTTGGGTGTAGTTATTTCATATATGTACTATACTTAGTGAACTGATTTACTGAAATGAGTGAACTTATAGATATTCTAATTTATTGAAAATGACTGTATGCATGTTTGTATCTGTGTGTCCTTTTTTTGGACTGTAAATGGATTTAGTCAGCATCAGCCTAAATTTGTACAACGCACTAATCAGAATTTCATTTGAATGTCTAAAGTGTGTTGTACTATACGTATGGCCAGCAGGGGGCTTCAAGCAGACCAAATGTTTAAATGACAGCTCTTGAGGCAGGAAGTGCAATCTTTGAGCCTCACCTCCCCTCTTGCAGTGAGGAGGCTAAATTAAAGCACGGTGCTTTAATTCAGTATCACCATGACCTAACATCCATCCATCCATCCATCCATCCATCCATCCATCCATCCATCCATCCATCCATCCATCCATCCATCCATCCATCCATCCATCCATCCATCCATCCATCCATCCATCCACTACACCTGCTTGTCATCAGCCCACCAGTTTTATCACCAGCAGCAGCTCCTACTAATATATTTAAACTTGTTTTAGCTTTGTTTATTTGAGTGAACTCCACATACTTATTGCCCTATTATCCTTTTATTAGGAATTACAAGACACCAAAAAATAAAATAAAATTAAATCATGCCGAAACTCTTCCATTTGATGCTATGAACACAAAAGCTGATGCTCAATCCAGATGATATAGACATATTTTGAACCAGTGCAATGCTGCATAAATGTCATGTCCTGAAGGCTCCAACATAACTGTCATCAACAGACAGTAAACCTGAAAGTCTGAGGTTTTCGAACCAGATACTCTCTTCTCTTCTACAGTATATTGATAATTACATTACATTCTGCACTTTTAAGAAGCTTAGGTCTTTCGGCTGACATCAGCAGTGCAGTGCTGGTTCAAAGAGTGATTTGTGCTCGTTAGGACAGCAGAGGGAGCTGTTGTACAGCCTACAGATTGAACAGTTCAGAGGGCACGGCAAACTCCCAGTGGAGTTTCTGCTCTGATGTATTTCAAATAAAATTGATTGCTGCAGTAATAGAGATTTTAAGAACCAAGTAGAACAAAAGGGAGAGAGTTTATGTTAGGCTCAGGGGCAGCCGTGTACTGGTAGTGGTTTGGTTTAGGGTAAGGATCAGCGTTGGGCTGTAAAAATGAATAAAAAAATGAATGGAAGTCAATGCAAAGTCCATGTGAAAATGTGTGAGTGTATAAAGTTATTGTTAAGTTACTTTTCGGGAGAAGTTAGTCATCTGGTTAAAAATCAGGAAATAATTCAGTGTTCAGTGTTTGAAGTGTTACAGAATTTTCTTTCGCACAGTGTCGTCTCTGCAGCTCAGGGAAGCTGGAAGAAATTCAGTTTTCAGCAAAACACAATGAAATGTCATCCTGTAAATGTTAGAAATATATTAGATTGACTTCATCCTTATTTGTAAATCTTATTAAGAGAAAAATACATGATCACTTGTAGATTATCAAATCAAGTTTATTTATATTACTTGTTTTGGCAACAAGGCAGTTGAACATGCTTTACATCATAGAAAACACCATACAGTCAACAATTGTGGAACAAGCAATGAACATTACATTTTGTCAAATGTATCATCAAAATCATCAAACTAGATCAGATATGTTGATCAATCTTCCATTTATTGCTAGTCAAAGGCAATTCTGAACAGGCAGACCTTTAATCTTGATTCAAAGTAATGCAGTGTTTCAGCTGTTGTACAGTTTTCTGTAAGGCTTTTAAAGATTAGATAGTGTAATTTTTTAATGCAAAATCTTCTTAATTTTAACCAAATTTGAGCATAATTAAAATCCCCCTTTATGAGATTATATTGTAGGTGAAATATAACCAGTCCCATTTTACTTTTTATTTTATTTATATTTATATAATTTATTTCCTAACTATTGTTGAGTAAAGACTTACAGGCCAGCAGCTTGTGGTCCCTGAGGTTTTAATGGGTGCCTTAAAATCATGAGGTCTTGGGTCTCAATGAAGACTGTCTGTATGAATGAAGGTCAGATTAAAAGAAATAATTCTCTTTTGGATGAATTTATGATTTGCCCACAAATGTAATACGATTTTCCAACTAGAGTTTGTAAGTCTATGTCACTATGAGGAATTTTAGTTTGTTGGCTTTATGTGTACATAACCAAATGAAATGAAGATGTCACAAACACAAATCTAACCTTTGACCTTAAGCATGTCAAGTGTAACAACAGCAAGCTTCATGCCCATGCCCCATGTCTTCTTCTTTATTTAGGGTGTTTTTGTCACCGCCGTTACAAATAGCTTAGCTTTTGTTACACTTTGGTTCTGTTGATATAGAGGAAGACGTTTCTCGAAATATCAAGTCTATGACTAACTTTTCTGAAAGGACGAAGGGAAATATATGGAGGAACTATACTTGCATGAGAAGACCTGGCAAGTCCTTGATGACGATGTGTCTAGCCACAGATCTGTTTGGAAGTGCATGCTTGAAGGATTGTTATGTGTGTTAGGAAAATCTTTCAATTCAAAGACATTTAAATCCAGCTTTCATCCAGGTGAACTCAAAGCAAATACAAATACACAAATTAGAATACTATCCATGTCCTATTCATTGAATAAGTGACTCCATGAATCAGTTTTTGGTGGAATCATTTTAAAGCATAGTAATTATTTGTGTTATTGGATATGAGCTCTATTGAAATACAATTTGTTTTTTTTGTTTTTTTCTTATTTTAATTAGTTAATTTCTGACATTTTTCTTTTTTTACTACCTGAAGAAGAGCAGTTTGTTAAGTTTCTCGTTCTTTGGAGAATTCTTTGTTTTTGAAAGTTCTCTTTAGTTATTTCAAAATAAACTGTGAAATGAATATTCCTTCATTAGATGCGAATGACAAAATCATATTGATGAAAGTGATGGATAATCAGGTGACATTTTTCAAGAAAATATTTAGGTAAGTGATGTGATAAAACTTTTTGGACACTTTTGAGTCTGATTATACTTGTTGTAGCGTGATGTTCTTTGGCTGCTGTATTTCAAAAACATGCTGATGATTTTTTTGTCATGGAATATTAATTCTGCTGGTTTGCAGAAAATGATGAAATCCAGTAGTCAATTTGTGACCTTAAGCTCAATACACTTAGGACATGCATGTAGCAGGACAATAATCCAAAACACTACATCTGAATGACTCAAATAACTAAATATATAAGAAGTAGCAGCTTGGAGTGGCCTCGTTAAAGACTGTTTACATTGAGATGCTGTGGTACGACATTGAATAAGCAGGTCATGATCAAAAAGTCCCCTGACTAAAATATAACAATTAAGCAAGCCAAAGAGGGCCAAACCTCCACAGCAACAATGTACAGTAACATTATAACCAGCTCTTCATGGCAGTAGTTGTTTGGTGTAATTTTAGGTTTATATAAAATTTACAGTTTTATATCTTGCTGGACACAATAAACTACAACAAATAGAAGTATGCTTCATAACATAGCTTTAGATCAAAGCTATATAGCTTTGAAATAATTGATAATAAAATGAAATCGTCTTTTAAAAATAATAATACTGTAATGTTGTTTTCAATGTCAGTTTTCCGTTATCCCAGACTTTCTGTGTTACTGTAATTCACACAGCTGATCAAGACGGTAACTTCTCTATAACTGTGCGACGTCGCATTTCTCCTCACTCTTCTCGCTCGGCTGAGGATGCGGGGGTGCGCTGGGTTTCCCAGGGGGCGGGGCTTCGAGGCGGGGACAACGCGGCGCTTACAAGCGGGCAGGGGTTGCAAGTCAACAAACCAGACTCACTTCTTCAGCCTACCTGAACGGATCTGTGTGCAAGTCCCCGTTTCTGAAAAAGACTGCTGGCCGAGTGGACGAACCGACGAGAAAAGGGACACAGAGCACAATCGTTTCTGACATGCACTTTGATAAATGTGAGTATTGATCCTGTGATGTTGCATCTAGTTTATGTTAACCGTCATTATTTTCGGTCGGTTTGTCGTTGATGCTTTTCTGGTTAATGAACTTACAAGTGAAAATGGCTTTTGGGACAGATATGATGTTATTGTACAAAGTGTTTGTTTTCATATTTTCCCCTATAATATACATCGGCCTTATCAGGTTATCACCTTGTAAAAGTATCATCAATGAAAAGACCAATCTAATATGACTATATTTACAAATGCGTCTTATTATTGTTCTTTGTCACACTTACCTCAATTGTCTCATCTAGTATTTCACATCAAAATGTCATCCAGTGTGCCATTTCAGTGCAATGACATCACTATTTGGGTGAATCCAAGAGTCCAGACTTCATTTTGGGGAACCCCTAATGCATCTCCACCCCTGCTTGCATGTTTTCATTTCCTCTTTTAATTAATGCCAAAGAGGCAAGTTGTGTGACATGACAGAGACAGCCTGCTTTGCCTATACTTCTTTGTTCATCAGTTTTGTTTTTCTTTTTT